TCAGTGAACAGGTCGAAAGGTACAATTGTGTTTGCTTTCTGAAGGAGACGGTACATTATATAAAGTCAATATTAAACACGGAAGAATTTCCGTGTTGGAGTTTTCTGTGGTGATAAGAATATGGATGTTTGTTTTAGAGGAAGGTTTAAAAAATATATATAATTTTATAGGACGTAATCAGTTATTTAAAAAGCTAAAGTCAGGTCGTACTGGAATCAAAACTTCGAAAATAGAAGAAAATATTACCCTGGCAATAATAATTTTGTACGTGAAACACAAAGTTCAAACGATAATTTGTGGCTGTATTTTGCTACGTTACTAAAGTTCTTACAACTGAGTGCAATAGCACTCCACTTCTTGAAATGTTACATTCTATAATTATCAATTAACTTCAGAGTTCCTGTAAAACAGTTCATCCTGTGTCACTTCCGTATTTATTGCTCGAGCTTTAAACTACGAAATTTGCTCCATTTCCTGACCCACGTTAATTTCGGCAGATTGCTTTACTTTTCTCCCAATTCTCTGAAGCCGAAGCTCGTATAATAATATTTAATAATTCAGTCCGTACCGCAAAGAAAACACTACCTCACCATTACAAAGATCTACTCGTTATTGCTGTTTAAGGAAATATCGTAGTTTTCTGTGAGAATTAAAGACCCATGAATACAAAATGCAGAGTCGCAGATTGTTAAAACACCTGGTACATATAATTACCATTGGGTTTTAAAGGGTTAATATTATAATACAAGACTCTGCTTTGTTTCCTTTAGTATATATGAAGCTAATGAACAGTTTCTGAAAACGTAGTCGCGTAATTTCAAGGGAGTATCAATTAAATTATTTTTGGAGGTAATTAAAAAGTAGGTCACGCCTGTGCATGTGTGGAAGTTACGGATAAGTAATCACAAAATCTCAGCCAGAAGCATCCCCTGCCACTTGGGGGGGGGGGATTAACGTACGTATTGTTTCAGTAATTTACCGTGCTCTTTAAATACAATGTCTTCTACCTCAGAATGTTGTTTTAATGAAGATGCATAGAAGGAATGGGGTTGTCTGCAATTACACAGGAGCCAGGGTAGTTTAAAGGTTTCTGTACTTCGGTTGTCGTTTGCAAGTTTTAATGGCCTCATCATTGAAACTTTCGAAGACGCTTTATGGATGTTGGAAAATACAGATGTGCTTAATTTTAGTGATGTATGTTAATGGTTTATGAGCTGACTCTTAATGTGCTCGTATCATTTTGGTGATAAACGGCGTAGTGTTGGGTATCAGGGGACTTACCATCTTAGGTCGTTTATGCTACAAGTTCGAAGTGCATTGGCTCCACATCATACAGGTGTATAGAGGGCGTGGAAGTTTGGTCCTACGCGTAGTCAGACCTGTGGTCCTTAATCTTGATCTGTCGCCGCTTTTACTGGGAGTCCGCTCTGACTCAATTAGGATGACCATTGTTTTGCTATCGTGACGTCACAAATCGATTGCCGTGGTATGAACCCAGTATCTGGTGTCTGGGTGGAGGGACCAGCCTGGCTGTAGGAATGTCAGGAGATTCTTGAACTGTTTGCGTCGACGTCTCGTGCAGTGTGAGGCAGCTGGAGTAGCCAGTTCGTGTATCAGAAACGGTTGTCGACCATCGCCTTTAGACAGGTAAACCAGGCTTTGTAATTTAGTTTGTATAGCGGTAAGGAGCTAGCCGTGTAAAGAAACCTTATTCGGAAGCCAGTGTAACAGCTTGTGTATGGATTTACATTCCCACGGCTTCTTGTAGCCTGTGAGGAAGGGTTTTGGAAAGAAGCCTTTGGCAAGTTGGAAATTGTGAAGAGGAAAGCAAGTTTTGTATTATATCATGCTCGCATTGCCTAGGCTTCCCCTACAGCGTGTGGACAACCCGTTTTCAACATTTCACATCCGCTGAGTCTAGAAATGGATTGTCATTGAACGCGGGAAAGCATTTTGCAGGCATGAATATTAGTTAGGACCTGTAATAAGAGGGTAGAGTCGTAGGATGGCTACATTTTTTGAAAGTTCAATTACAATTAAAATACGACAACTTAAACCTTGCTCGTTATCGTATCTTCTCCATGTATGATCTGGAGCTTTTACGGCGACTAAGTGTAATAAATTCTTCTTGGGTTACCAGCCGTGTTCTTGAAAGGCGAAGAAACCAACGTTTCGAGGACCATCTTCGTCCTCAATGTGGTGAAGAGGTTTCTTGCTAGGGTATGTTTTATTTGGTAATGCAGAAGTTTTGGGTGTATAAATGTGAGCAATTTTACCACACGAGGCATGAAGTTTTTTCTAAGGTCTACTAAATTTAAACACATTTTCTAAACCGACTGTGAGTTGACCTCCATTGTCCATCTTCTTCAGCAACCGGGTGTCGCCTCCATCACCCACGTCAGACGACAGCAGATTGGTCTTCATCCACCCCACCCCACCCCACCCAACGATGATCTTGTTGGCTGCATCTTGTAGGTGTTTAATTGATGGTTGTACACTCGAATTGTAGGACAAGCCAGAAATGGCCCTCGAAAAAGAGGGCTTTATCCTTGATGCTGGTAAAATATATTATCAGTGATAATGCTGATTATTGAAACGCTTAATAGGTTGATGGTCTTTAAGAAGTGCAAAGCCACGGATCTCTAAATACGAGAATAATGTTTTTTATTTCGATTTATTCATCGTATTTAATTTGTACATAAAGGGCATAATTTCACATCTGGTTTTAGAAACGATTCTTAAATGTGATCTTTGAACCATGTGAAATATTTAGCATTCGCCGTGGTACAGTTGTTTACGTTGTATTAAGGCAAGAACACAAATTGAGTTTGTATGAGAATAGAGTTCTGAGGAGAATTTGAACCGAAGAGGACCTTTCTTTCTTAATGAAATATTAGGACGATCAAATCAACCCATTTTACTGTTCATCCCATAGTAGGGCGAGTTCTTCGTCTCGTTCTTTCGTTGTGGATTCCTCGTCGACCTCAGTCACGTGAACGTTATATTAGTGTTCACTAATCCAGGAATGTTACGCAGATAGTGTAGACATTTTCAGCAGCAATATATAGGTTACTGTCGCATTGCATCACACGCGCTCATGAAGAGAATTATCTTGTGCTGTCGGAATAGGCGACTATGAAGTCTATTAATTTCGCAGGTGTGGTATGTTCACATAAACGTGACCCCATTACTTACCCTTGTTTCTGTCTGTAGATTTTTTTTAAATGAGGGGGGAGGGGGCATGTAGTTTCTAGATGGATGTCTTATGGGTTGTAGGCTGTTTCAGATGATGTAGGCGGGCAGGGACTTCTGAAACGTCGGTAAACTTGTACCAGGCTTCACGACGTTGCTAATCCCCAGAAGACAGCCGTTGACATGAGAACCTGAAGTCCCGTGTAGTCACAAAGTTTGTTTTTTACTGGATCGTGTATTTAATTTCATCAGTGGTATTCAACCTGGTGTACGCGTACCCCCGGAGGTACGCGAAGACATCTTAGGGGGTACGTGAAATTTAAAAAAAAATTATTATTTTATGATAAACATTGAATAATCAGTAATGTAATTTATTTAATTTATTTTAGATGTAGATTATGTACTATGTATAACTTGAATTATACACCAACAACTTTGGGGGTACAAAGTTGAAGAGAAATTATATCTGGGG